TTAAAATGTTGATCAGGTTATGTTTCAAATTGCAAATACTTTCGAGCGTAGTAGGCGTTCTCTAAAAAATATTTCAAGGGGATCAAGGCACTGCCATTTTTGGATTAAAGTTGAAAATATTAGTGTGTCAAAAATGTCAATTCGTTTTTGTTATTTAAATAGTTTAGTACGTATTCAAGCACTGCGCAACCACTGTTAAATCTGGAGCAAAATCCGCAAAGACCTTGCACCTCAAAGTAGCAGGCCACATATGAGAAGGGTCAAACGTGGAGAGATTGCCCTTCCATTTTTTTTAGAATGACGAGCTCCGTTTTGGTGCCAGAACTATGACTTTCCGTAATGCAGATTTGATCGAACTGGATATTAGTGCAAGGTTGCAAGCGCATGATAATGGTTTGTAACGAGAGACATAAATTAAAATGGCATACATTTAGTCATAATATAATTACGTAGCAAGGAAGCCGTGCTCAGCTGATTTTGTAAGTTTCTTCATGCCGATTGATTTTGCTTTTACTCACCTCCATCCTGACTGCATCCAAAATCCTGCTTTCCTGCATGTTAGCTTCGGTGCAGACGATACTGATTGAGAACCACTTTCCTACTTTATGACGTGGTTCTTTAGCATTTTCAGCCAGCATAGAGGACCGGTAGGACACTAACCACTTTAACCTAAGTTGTATGCACTCCGTGTATCGCAATCCATAAAACTTACGAGAGAATAGACATATTGCATAAGGTGGTGGTCAACCACAGTCCTCCTAAGGCAGATCACTAACGACATCCTGAAGAAGAATGTGGAGAATGTGAATTATTTTCAAAAGACGCTAAAGCGGAGAAATTGAATCGCGTGGCAGCATCTCTGGGGCAGCTACAACAGCAGCAGACAAAATACAGCTTCAAGAAAAGCTCTATCCGAACACGTTTCACCAAGAAAGTTGGAGAAATCAGACGAGAGATGATCGTTATTCAACATCCTACAGTAGAGGTTCGATCCAACACCTTCATTCTGGTAAAAGGGATGGAAAGGAATGGAGCCAGCTGGACGTTAGACAAGGAAATTTTCTGAAGACGGATATGCTCCAACTGACACTTAAGGCCGACTCAACTCAACCACTAAAACAAGAAGCTAGTGGTAAATTTCAGTGACACTGTCCTCGCATAAAACTAAATGCGGAACATTATTTGCCCTACCCCGAAACTGGCAAATGACATAATTCCTGAAGAGAAAAGCACCATTGGAGCATGTACATTACTCCAAAAAATAGAGATGACTTCACAAACTATGATATCTGCATGATTCAAAGAAGAAATACATTCATGCAAATGAACCAGGTGACCAATGGGATCATCAGGAGGCACAACAACAATTAAGAGCAGCCTGAAAAAGCAGCTTTGACATCTCAGAGCAGCCTTCAACGGCTTCCAGGACCCATATTTTTACGGGCTACACAAGACATGAAGTGAAAGTATCACTGAGATCTATCATTGAAAACGTACAGTCTATCGCCCACCCCAGACGTAAGTTTCTAATATCCATTCTGAAGAAACTCTTCAATCTGACAAATAGAAGGTACATTTCAAACTCCAAGGAGTTCAAAAAAGGTGAATGGCTTAACTATTATACCGGAAGCCACCATGGTGAGTTTTGACAACTTATTTCTTTTTACAGACATCAACCAGAAATGCGTTAGAATTCATCAAACACAGACTAACGACTTCTAATTGCGCTGCCGTTTAACATGGCTAGACTGGAGCAGGTGTTACTGAAGCTTCCCGGAACTGAACTAAACCAAATTGCGAGCAATTTGAAAACAACACAACCAACGAACTGACTGCGTCTCGGGATTACCAGTACCTCCCATCGCGACGGATATGTGTATAACGCAATTCGAAAAAATGGTATTAGAATCAGCAAACCTGAGTCCACTGCCATGGTTAAGGTATATATGCGGTACTTAGACATAGTGATCGTACGGGAATTAACGACTCAACATCTTTCACAAAAATCTAAACTCCATCCGTGAAAACATTCTATTCACAAACAAATTGGAGGAGCGAAAACATATGTTCATGGAGTACCTGTCTGCAGCAAGAACAAAACATGAAGCACCATTGTGCATAAAAAGCGCACGCAGAACGGAGGCTACATCAAATTCCATTTTCACACCCACAAGTCCACAAAAGTGAAACTGGTTTAGATATTATAGCTCTGGAACATTAAACTTTGCAGAGACACCTCTACACTCCATAGGAGAACGGCAACTTTTTCGCTAAACCGGGCAAAATTCGGCATCCAAAGACTTTCACCCACGAGCAGGTGAACAAAGTGGGATTGAAAGTTGAACCGGATCTGAAGCTCAGAGGAAACGACAACAAGAAGAGAAAAGTACTGAAGCCGCCTTCCCTCGGTCATCCTGTATAAAAAAACTGAAGTGAAAGAATCAAACGTGGCCGTATTTAGGTACAAGACAACCGCGGTCTGAAGATATTCAAACAAGGTCGGCAGTCTCCCCATAAGAAAGGCATGATTCCGAAACTAGAGGATGTCGGGATAAAATAATGAATAAACTGCTCGTGCGGTGGAAATTACATTGCGAAAACCGGTAGAAAACTAGGAACCGAGTCAGCGAATACAGAACTTGCCTTAGCAAAGCAGATGAGAATTTGACTGCAGTGGATGAACACAACACATCAAAGAACCACCTTATAATCTGGAATGCAAGTAGCACCATAAGCAGCCGCATAGAAGCCAACAGGCGGAAAAACATTTTGGAATCAGTCACGGTTGAACGATATGAAGCAGATTCAACAGGAAAGAAGGAATACAAAATTTTCCTAGTATGGATTTTCCTGCTACATAATCAAATTGTGAATAAAGTTGTGTCATCTGAACCTACAGCTTCTGTTACAAGCTCATCGCCACACTGTTGCGATCATAAAAGTGCATCATAAAAGGGTCACGCGGCGCAGGCATTGCATCATCACTCGTCATCCAAACAGTCAGAGGGAAAGTACATCAAGATTAACTCCTTCCACCGGTGTTTTGACACCGTGAGATGCAAGATCGTTGTGGATTATTTTCCAAATTTAACAGAAGTTGCATACTCCTTGCATATGAAACAAACCGTTTAAAAAATAGAAACATAAGATGCATAAAAACACTATTAATCGCAAGTTTTAACTTCCGAAAATGCAGTGATTAAATCCCACTGGAACTTCTTTTGAAGAACACATGCTACGCTGATCTAAAAATGTTCTCAACAAAATCAGGCTTATAAATTTTTAAATACGATGAGTTATGTTGCTAAAGTTTAATTTGAGCGTTTTTCATTCTTTAAGTTCTTACAGTGAGGAATAACTACTCCCACGTTTGTGATGCAAAATGGAAACGAGCATTTGACATTCCTTTATAATGCTTTATTGCCATAAATATCAGACGATTTTAAAATTGTACTTGCAAATCAATTTTATTACTGTAAAATATCTGTAGCAGCGCGCGTACTTTCGAACAGTAGAAGTTTGAATGCACTGAAGGCGAAAGTCGAAGTAGATAAATTTTATGTGAATTATTCTTTGTGAGATAAACATAGAGTTCACTGAGTTTCACTTTTGTCTCCGTGAACCCGGTAATCTTGAAAGTTTAATAGAATCTTTGCAGAGGAGCACAATTTTCCTTCAGAATCGTTCAAAACTTTTTTATAATTTTAAATTTTGTTTGCTGTATTGACAGTCGCACTCATTTAAGTTCCGAAACAAACAGCCTAACATTACGTGGTCATTGGAAACGAAGTAGCACTGTGTAGCTATAACAGAAAAGTGGAGATGAAAGTTGAGGCGAGGGAGGATAGGACAGTTCTTGAAAAATACTGACCTCGTCTCGGTAAGAGTACGGCGAAACGTGTCTGACTTACAGTATACCAAGCTCCGACCGTACCGACAGTTCGGTGAGCGGCAAGTGACCATCTGTAAAATCCCAGGATTTAGGTGTCTTGGTACCATGTGGAGCTTGGAACCGTTTGCATAAGCGTCACCTTCCTGGTTGGGGGGGGGTCTGCTACACTGTATTTTAGTTGTTTTATCTTTTCACTTACCATACCAGTTGCTCTCCAAATGTAAACCTGCTTCTGTATTTAAGGTTATCATATGTAGAGTAATTGCGGTTTCGCTGCAGATAGTTGTCTGTTGACGTTAATTCTGATACTTAAATTGTCACTTCAGTAACTGTTTTATGATGTCAATTTGTGACCTACTCTTTCGTGGTGCTTTTCACTGTTAAATGAATAATAGCTATCATAACAGGTTATACTGTTCTTAGTTTTATGATTGTGTTGCAATGTGAGAAGTGGTTTTTATGGCTACGAGGAACTGGTAAGCATTTATACAATGGAATTAACGGGAATTTCATGATTACCTCTTGTCATTTGATGATCATTTACTTTCAAAGGCTTGTTCTTAGAGTTACTTTGAAGGGCGGGGTTTTCTACTCGCAGTTAAGGTTTCAGCACGATTCCTTGGAAGCCATTTAAGTGGGCAGCAGCTCTGCAGTATTTGAACATCTGCAATGCCAGATGTATTTCGGGGACATGATTAAATGATCTTTCTAGTAACAAGGTGGCGGTTCAGTACATGATGAAACCTGGTTCTGGTCTTCGAGGCGTTATGCATTGTCTAACAATGACAACAAATGGTACGAGGCCTATCTGTTCAAAAGGAAAAACAGGCGGCAATATTCCCAAAATACGTTACGAAGTGAGACAATGACTGGGTTAGAATCGTCTGAGAATTAATCTGAATTGATATGCCGACAGAATATTATTTTTGAAGAACACAAGGCTGCACAAACTTTCCTTACTGAGCAGAGAAACCGTAAGTAATAACACATTAAATATGAATAAATCTGATAACTGTCAAAGCATGCTGTGCTGGATATGAGGCACCTAATCGACACGGACGTTTATTCATTTCAAAAATTTGCGGTTTGCAGGTGTACCCGGTAAAATATGGAGAACGACTTGTCGGAGTTGTTTGATGACGAAAGGAAGGTCTTCGAAGGTGCAGAGGCGGCCGGAAACGGCAATTTGATTACAGTAAAGGACAATCGGGTTTTCGCGTGGTTGCCTCACGTCAATCGCCTTGTGACGGCCGGCTGCGTGAACTGGAACGCTCGAAAATCGACGTTTACCTATGGACTAACAACGGTATTCATAATGGCTAACGTTGAGTTATAGATCGTTGTGCAGCACTCGTCATATCTCAGGTCCTAAGTTTCTGCTCGCTGCCGTCTGAGGAAGTGTTGCAGTTGAAATTGGACAGCTCGGGGCTGCATTTGGCGTTGGTCACCAAAACTCAGGTCGTCGTTGTGTTTGTTCCGCCGTGCATCTTCTTCTCTGCTGACCAAACCGACTGCCAAGGAACGCAGTACTGCAGGTATTCCGTTGTCCGGTATCACGGCCGTGTTTCGACGTCTCTCGCTTGTTCTCTTGTTCTAGAAGCCGGTCTCTGGCTATGGTTGTTGGTGAAGGCATATCCAACGACTTTCGCATTTTGTGTGCAAGGTGGTATGCGTCTGCCAAGAACGATTGTCGTTTAGCTGTGCTCGGCAACGACAATCTATTTCGGTACTGGCTTTGATAAGTGAAATCCTGATTTTTAGCTTTTCAGCATTTAGTGAAAACTCGTGTATGATGAATTTTTTCAGGCCCCAGCCATAGTTCATTTTGTGGATTCCTATCCTGATTTAACGAAGACAGTAATTTAGCGCGAAAAGAGCTCCCCATCCCAAGATGTTTGTTAAGTGGCTGCTGTACTCTGTTTCTTTATGTCCTCACTTCACTTAGTCTGCACTCAACGAGAGACACCGGTCTGTGACGTTTCGGTGCAGGCTGTTTTGACACACACCGGCTGTCTTGTTATCACACAGTCTTGTGGTCGCACCGCGCTTTAGAATCCGTTTAATTGATAGGTGCCCATCTGTATCTACCATTTGATTTAACGCCTCGGATTACGTACAAATCAGAAGCTCTCTGGGCATCACACCAAGTGTTTAAATTTCTAAGTTGTCCATTCTGTTTTGTGACTCCATTGTAGCGACTGAATGAGGTCGTTAAGTCAGCGTGTAATCTTGTCGATGTGAGTTTGAATCTATATAACGGTCAGACTTCTACATTTATCAACCACTTTAATTTCATCGTATTGCATGTCAGCTAAAAGCAGGTTTTAAACACGTTGCGAAACTTTTATGAGACTTTTGAATTTCGCAAATTTTTGTTGGATGATTCGTAAAATTCGTAAACACGTCGCATAAATCTCAGAGGAAATGGTCCGACGTTGTTTCTACTGGAAATTTAGTCGGTTTACATTTGGAAGATTAACCCGGAACACTCCTGATATCACTATATTAAAGCAGTTCAGCTAAAAATGAAAAGTAGATAGGTCACACTATGCACTGTGCTAAGTAATTAATGAAATTCATACGATCCTGAAGATCTGAGCAATTTTTTAACGAACAGTCGTTTTCCAATCATTACCCACCACTCAGTTTAAAGAAGTAATGATGTAGTTGAAAGAATAATAATTACTATGAATGATCATCCTAATGTAGACCTTACAGCGTTCCTATGTGATTTATCGCATGGCTATGTAACCACATGAAATGGCGATATCAAGTAATGTTTCAAGAGTAGGACACTAACCGGTATTAGCCCAGCAAGTCAAATATTTGGTTATACAAATCTTTCATTACCACAGAACGGCGAATGACAGCAATGAATTTTGGTCTGCTGATAATTCATAGTTGACAAGGATGACAGTGATAAAGAAACATCGTTCAAGGTTCAGAAGGTTTCTTTATGCTCGATCTTCATTCGAATGGATTTCTTCTAGAACCTTTAGACCAGCCTCTATTAGTTCAAGGCTTTCAGTTAACTTTCCGACTGTCGTCATGATGATCCGTTTCGGTTCAGCCTCTTCAGCTTCCTCGACAGCATTTTGGTTATGAATTTCTATAATGTAATTTAATGTGGGCTCTTCATTATGAGAGTACCATAGCTCCATGACATCTTCAGCGTATACTTCCAGAATTAAGTTGTGAAACAAGAACGATCACTTCCTTTGCTGCTTCAGCAATATAACCCTATATTTGGAGCCGTGATTAGGTTTTGACTAAATACGAACGGACAAAGTTTTTTCTATACACCATTTATGGTTCTTTCACAAACTTCAGTCCACGAGTCTTCTATGATCTTCATTGCATCCAAAGCATTCAAAACCTTCCAGAAATTCAAGCTGTTTTGTTTCATAGCTGAATTCAAATGAACAAAGGATCGTCGGGTATAGTAAGCATCATGTTTTAATCATGCACTGGTCTATCGGTTGAACCAGACTTGTTCTTGGAGGCAAAAACACCACTTTCACTCGAGTTGCTGAAGGGTGCCATCCGGCATTGCTGAAAATTAGCATCACTTTAAAGGATAGGTTCTTAGAGCGGCAATAACTGTCATCCTCAGGGATAAAATGGTAACTAAACGAACGACAAGTGTTCGGGTTTGTTCTTCAGAGTTCTAGGCTTCTCGGACCGACAGATCAGAAGTAATTTCAATTTTCAATTACAGCCAAGTAAATGCACCATTTTAATTAAAATATTTGCTCATTTATTATTTGAAATATGCAGAAACGGTAAAGTACGAATCGACGTTACATCTGGGTATTACTGAATACGTATATAATCTGGGGGGGGGG